TCGAATATACGTTGTGAGGACGCAGAGTAAAATTTACCGCTTTACTGATATAATACAGGATTGATCAGAAGGATTATTGAAGAATAGCGAGTAGAAATCGCTTAACCGTGAGTCAAAAGCTGTTGTAAGAATACTATGGAAGAGCACTAGTCTAGACAAAACCTTTATACAAAAAAGGATTATATATATAGAAGTAGGAGTGGTTTACATAAAACGTTAGAGGGTATTCATTTAGATACAAAGGAAACTGTAAAAATGTGTATTTTCGTAGACAAAGATAACAAAGAAACGTATGGGAGATAATTTTGAGGAATGTGATTTGGTGAATAATGCAGTGATGAATCATTAGAAATGTTCTAAGCATTTAATGTATGATAAATTCTCTCGGTTTTTCCGACAACTGATAGGAGATACTATCTCTCTTCCGATTTACGCTTCTAGAAATATACTTTCCGCGATACTATGCTAAATAGATGTTCAAAATAGATTTCTGTCAAAGTTAAACATCAAATGTGATTTTATTCGAATATGTTTGACTAATTTGTTCTAGTTTTGACCACTTTACGAATCATATAACTGTTTTGTTGTATATATATATGAGATGAGAATAAAAAAAGGAACATTATCCCCATGATGAGGTTCTTATACTTTGCATGGCTTTTTTACTGGCATATCAAAATGGATACCAACTCCTTTACAGTATAACATTTTGCTATTGTTTCGTTCGTTTCCAGCTTTGAGAAGCAGCACTTCTAGTTCTGCAAATTATAGCTACAACAGCTAAGCAATAACACTGAGCATAGCCGTAATGTAAATAAAGTAGCTCCATGTGATAACTTTCCAGAATTTCAAATAAAGGGAAAAACAACGACAAGAATAGCAGAAAATTGCAGAATGTGTTTACCAGGATAATTGAGGATATGTGGTCATTTGCTTCCTGAGATTGGTATTAGTACCCGCCAAGCATTTGCCTTTGTGCAGAAGGAACTTATCATGTCAGTCGCAAGCTATTTCGTTCAATTGAACAACTAGCAGAATAGAAATTTAAATTCCATTTCAAATGTAAATCTTATTTAAACATTATGATTATGTAAATCTTACAATATTAACGTATTGACGCTGTGTGCATGCAATATTATAGGCCCACGATTGGGCAAAATGTGATACGGAGTGACTTGATGAACTTGTAGAACGAGACATCAGATCATCACTGGGATCACCGTTGAAGTTACCACATAAGCCACAAACCTAGAACGCAGCAATTCCAGCTTTGTTTTGCTACTTTTTACACTTAATCTGTTTGTTTAATCGTTTCTAGTTACATTCATACTTGCGTGAACTTCTAAGTACTTTATCTAATCTAAGCCAAAAACTGGCGCCATATTTCTACGTTGTACTGGATAAAATGATATTTAAATTAAATCCTCTGCGAATATGTACCACTATAAATACTTGGACACAAATATGTCTCAATTATATGAAAAGTTAGATTTGATACAATTGTATCCTTTTTAAAGAAATTCATATCAAATTTTGTAATCAATGGCAGAAAAGGAAAAATACTTTGGACTGATGTCGTTTGGTGAGGACGATTTCAACAAATGATTTCCCGTCCCAAATTACTTTTAAACCGATCAGTTTGAATGAAACAACAATGTTTCCGGTAGTAGGATCCTCGAAAGCTCGATATTCTGGCCAATCACTATAGCGAACATACGGAATGCTGATTATCTTCGTACGTTCACGTATAACCTTAAAAAAAAGCATTCGTATAAAGCTAATATTTATCGAAATTTTAAACAATTCTAAACTTGCTCCTTTTTTTTATATTAATCCAATGATAAAGCTAAGAAAGGTTGTAACCTTTTTTGGTAATAAATGCATAGTAAAGAAACTTCCATTGAAAAGTGAGATGGCAATAATTACACGTTTTGTCCACGTTAACGATGATCTTCCACCGTTTACACCAATTATTTTGAACTGTGGATCAATCCTGTTAATGAAATAAGTTAGTGGTTTATTATTAATTCTTTTTCCTTTTATTGTAATTAAATTGGAATCAATTTTAAGCATTTCTCAAATTCATCATATAAATTCAAATTAATACCCATTCAGTGAGCATTCTTGCGTAAGAATGTAACTACACATCCCTTGAAATGAATAGCCAAATTTGTCGAATGTTAAATAATGTGGATCACCGAATATAGTACATGAACCTTCCTCTGCAAACAAAAATTAATTGTTTCACAATGTAATTTTACCATTTATTGAAGAAGCATTTACCATTTAGGATTGCTGATATAAAATGGTTATGTCAAGAATAACAGGATGTTGATATTATCATGATAATAAACAATGAATTTAGGGAGAACAGAAATGTTTGATTGTTTAAGATAGATTAATTTAAATAAAACATTTACTTTTGTTTAATAAAATGGAAGATAAACGTCCGAGATGAAATGAATTAGATTGGAGGAAAATGTTTGGAATTTACAAATATGAATTTTTCCATGACAAATAGTAAACTTTTGTTATTTATTTCTCATTACAATATGCTAACTTATAGCAGTAGTAATTAATTTTTTTTCTAAACTTCTGATCGTTTAAAAAAGTGAATGAAAAAATTTTAATTGTTTGTTTTCATTTTCTCCTTTTAAATTTATTGACATGAATTAGGCATTGTTGTAATATTATATTTATTTCCATAATTTGTATGTGCATATTTACTTAGCTCACATTCATGACAGCATGATCCATTCACTTTTTTGAAATGTCGTCCTTGGGGACATTTTCCTTCCCATGGACAGTTCATTTTCTTACATTTTATATATCCATTAGCGCATATGCAGTTAGAACAGTTATTATCCAATGTCCATCTTGTACCATGCTGGAATATTGAAATATTGATTGATTGATAATTTTTTGTTTTCCATATGAAATATATGTGTGTTTTTTGTCTTTTTTTTTTTAATTGATCAACTGCTTGAGGGATTAATTGACTGATTGATTGATCGATCGGTTGATTTTGTCTTTGCGTATATGTATCAATGCATTTGACTAAATATGAAATTCTTATTAAGTTATGTGATGTTTGCTTAGTAAGTAATCCATTGATCTGGATAAACTGGATAATCTATCTCTATCATACTGGATAACCTACCTCTACCATACTGGATAATCTACCTCTACCATACTGGATAACCTACTTCTACCATACTGGATAACCTACTTCTACCATACTGGATAACCTACCTCTACCATACTGGATAATCT